GGTATAAAATCAAACAAGTGAAAGTGCTCATTGGTGGTGGTGTCGGGCACTCCAGACTGTGGGCAGCAGATTACTAGGATGAGGGGTTACTACACAGGGGTTAATAGACTGGTTAGGGTCCAGCAGAAAGGAAGACTCCTGGGTAGCCTGGAAAACAGGGTAATGGAAGTCAAAGAGCCCTGTCCTGGCTAGGAGCCTGGGCATTTGAACCAGGCTGCTCCTGACTCTGACCTTGGTCTTCCTCTGACTACACAAACCTTGTATCCTACATCGCTGCTTATTGCCTTTCTTGTTGACCTGATTCTGACTGCCCGTGCTACCCATTCTCCTTCCTGTTCACTCCCGCACTCCAATTCAGATTCTGTTGCCCAAGTTCCCGATCACAGCCTTTCTCCACCATCCCTTCTGTCTGAATGCACACACACCCCATTCCTCAAATTAACCTCTTACGGTAGGCTCCTAGGCCTTACCTTGACACACTTTTTTACAATATCCCATACAATGTGGGGGATAAGCTTGGTAACATGCCTACAAAAAAATCCATCACAAAAGAAATTTATAAGGTATTATGTTATGCTTCAAAAACAATTTTCACTTCTGTGTTTAAAGACTGAATGCTTATAGTAATTGAACTAGGAGTCCCAGAGTAGCAGTTTGATTGAATGTTTTTCTGGGTGTCTGCTATCAGCTAGGTGGAAACATTCAAAGTGAGACTATCCTTACATTTAGCAATTTGGTTTTAGAGTCAGCCAGCCACATGCAAATAAAATTTGCTGAGTAAATAACAAGTAACAAGGTACCGTAGGAAGCTTGGCTGGTGTCTACAGACTTTACCTGAATCCACTCTCACATGAATAGGAAGCAGTAGAAAGGTAGGTGAGCCCGCTCAAAATATAATTTCCATTATTTATGTTTTCTGGGTTAGAACACTTCACCAGTTCACACACAGGAGGAAAATGACTCCAAGAACCGTCAGCAAGACAGGAGGATTCTTTATTACCAGCCAGAGTGTATCCTTTATTACATCTGAAAAAGACAGAAAATTCCAGAATTT